ACTTTAAGAATAACCCCAGATGGTCAACGTGAACAGTATCAAATGGCTCTGAGACTTTCTCAATAGGGTGGAGGAATCTAGGCTGACGTTCGCCAGGTTCTTCATTGTATGTACAGACATTCCGAACAACACGTAATATATTTCTTTATGTATCTCCGCATTCCTGGAAACCAGTACCTCTTGGAAATAGTCGTTTATCTAGAGCCATATGTCCTCCGCCGTCATGAAAATATTAAATGCATTAAAACCCATTTATTGCCGTTTTTCTGTTTGTCTATGAAGACGATTATTATTCTTGCAATATTCTCCATGGATTTTCCGTTCTTCAACGTCCAAAGGATCTCTTTTTTATAATTAATTTACATCGATCGTCCGTGAGTTGCGCTGTGAGTACCCAGTCTTCATGTTATATTTCAACAAGGTTGGCAGCAATTTGTGATACATCTCCCCCAAGAATAGAAATAGGACTTCTACTCAAAGCATCAACATGCACCATTTCTGTACCAGGGCGATACACCACTTCGAAATTGAACTCTTGAATAGACAACCACCATCTTCCAACTCTAGGATCTCGCTTGCACAATGTCGCCCTTATAGGATTGCAATCAGTAATTACCTTGAAATTAATACCATTCAAGTACACTCTAAAGTTCTTCAAGGTACATACGACTGCAAGGGTTTCGATTCCATAAGAGTGGTACTGTTGTTCGTCTTTTGTGGTTTGTCTCGAAAAATACCTACAGGGAAGAAGTGAACCAGAATGTTGCCTCTCTAATAATATTCCACCTATGCCCCACTCCGAAGCATTACAGTGGTTGACAGGTCTGGATTATATATCGCTAGGATAAGCCTTGATACTCACCTTTCTTTAAGAGAAGGTATCAAAAGAATCTTGTTTGATCACTGCCCCAGGCGAATTCTACTCCTTTTTTTCGTCAAAGAAATGAGAGGTCTGGCTATGATAGCGAAGTTCTTAATGTATTCTCGAAAATAGCTAGATAAACCTAGGAATTGCCTGAACGTGCCTACATCTGTAGGAATGGGGAACTTGGATACAGCGTCTGTATTCCGTTTTTCCGGTTTATTACCATCCTTGCTAATTTACTAACTTACTAACCCAAATATTCGATCTTGGGCATAAAAAAGTGGCATTTTGACAATCTCAACGTAAGACCTGCATCGAATAATGCTTTCAGGACGTCCTTGAGGTTATTGATACCGACTTCAAAGCTATGCCAATGCTTTCCCATACCGCATGTTTCGCGCAATACTTTATTTATAGTTCTCTGGAATAAAGCTGGCCCATCTGAAACGCCGAATGGCATTCGAAGGTACTTGACGTCAGGCGTCACAAAGACAGTTTTTTGAATAGAATCGGGTTCCATCTCTATCTGGTGGCATTCACTAGTTAAATCCAAACTTGTGAAAAACGAACAGTCCTTGAGTTTCTCCAGGAAATGATCAACTCGTGGTATGGAAACCTGTCTTTGATAGTCTTATCAATTAATGTGCGATAATCGATACACATTCGTTGCTTTCCATTCCTTTTCTTCACTGAGAGGATTGAGCTCGCATACGGCGACTCAGACTCACGTATTAGGTATAGTGAAATTAATTGAACAGTGTATGCACGTGATCAAAATTAATGACATAAGCACGTCGCAATGTTGCCGCTATTAACTTTCGTTTTACTTTGACATACCATGCCTAGTAAAATTTGTTATCACTAAAGCAAACAAACATCGATTTTTATATGTATAGATAGTGTATTATGAACACAAACTAGAAAAACTACTCACCTTTCGTCATAAATTTGATTGCGAATAGAGCTAACATCAAGGTGATCTTGATTCGTAACCCGCTTCTTATGTGGACGTTTTTTCTTTGGTCAATTTAACGCTAAATTATCCCTAACTTTTTGAGAGATTTTACATTGGATTTTACTCACAGTGGTTATACCAATATTCAGTGCAGCTGCAACACGCTGGAAAAATATTCCCAATTAAAGACCCAGAAGATTTATATTTGATAGTATCAATATACTTCACCTCTCTAACGCTATTTAATGGCAAAAACGGGCCCCCATTATCTCGTTCCTGTTCAAAGAAATTAATTAGAGACGCAACGAGTTTCTGACTCTGACTATTCAATGACTTTGGCATTTTATAGATACACAAATAGAAATAATTTCAAAATATTAAAATAAGTAACCCCAGATTTGCAGCAATATTTGGCAACATAACCCATGAGTGCCAACCTAAATGTCATTTTATCGGCCGATTCGGTTAAATGCCAACAGTGTTCTGTCTTTTTTTTTAACTAAGGTTAAATAAAAAGGAGAATGAGCTCTCAGCTTGAAACGAATTTTAATTTCTTACAAACTGCAATTGGCAATAATTTCGACGTCATTGATCACGTGCATACACTATTCAAATAATTTCACTATACCGGGTGTCTACGAGATTAGTTTCGCGCTGGCATTTGCTGGTTTTTTTTTCAATGGCAAAGATTTTTGGTATAGAATATAGGTTTGAGAAATGTCATCTTTTGACATATGTTTCAATGTTTGGTAACTTCCGGTTTGACTGGAAGTGGCCCTAACTTCGTAATTTCAAATGGCATCCCAAGAATTTTTTCGCATTTTGGGATCTGCGGATCATGATGTGTATGAAAACGTCAAATTTGAACATTTTTGAAGAAACTTAAGAATTCAAAATTTATTTTTGAATAGAAAGTGACAGAATGGCCTTTAAACTGTTTTTTTCAACTCATACGATCGTAGAAAAATGCGAATGCCAAGTTGTTATCATTTGCTTGTTCTCCAAAGACTTCCAAAGTTGAAAAAACCACATTTTACGTGATAACTCAATGAAATCAGTGAAATCACTCAACTTTCACGACAAGAGATTTTTACCTTTTTCAAAATAAAATCAACTATGCATTAGAACTTTTCATTTATGCCAGTTTTCAATTATTTTCTCATTATTTTTATTATGCACTACTATAAATGATGAAATTACTTATTAATGAACCCCTATATGAAAAAACGCTGTCTAAAAGGAGCTGGTCGTTTTTTTTTTTACTTGTCACGCCATTGACAAGATCTATGGACAAGATATGTTTGTTTGCGTAGACATTTGTCATTGTTTGGCATGGAATTTGTAAATACAAAGTTTGAATACAGGGGCTCATTTATAAGTAGTTTTATCTTATCATTTATAGTTGTGCATAATAAAAATAATTAAAAACTGGCATAAATGAAAAGTTTCAATGCATAGTTAGTTTTATTATGAAAAAGGTAAAAAACTCTTGTTGTGAAAGTTGGGTGATTTCACTGATTTCATTGATTTATCACGTAAAATGTGATTTTTACAACTTTGGAAGCCTTTGGAGAACAAGCAAAGGATAACAACATGGCATTCGTATTTTTCTATACGATCGTGTGAGTTGAAAAAAACAATTTAAAGACCATTTTATCACTTCCTATTCAAAAATAAATTTTGACCCAGAATTCTAAAGTTTTTTCAAAAATGTTCAAATTTGACGTTTTCATACACATCATGATCCGCAGATCCCAAAAATGCGAAAAAATTCTTAGGATGCCATTCGAAATTACGAAGTTAGGGCCATTTCCAGTCAAACCGGAAGTTACCAAACATTGACATATATGTCAAAAGATAACATTTCTCAAACCTATACTCTATACCAAAAATCTTTGCCATTGAAAAAAAACCCAGCAAATGCCAGCGCGAAACCAATCTCGTAGACACCCGGTATATCACTCTCAAGCAGTTCATTCACAATATCTCTCCTCTCACAACTTTCCTTTCAGTTTGAGATAAACGATAAGATCTATACACAATTAGTTTGTAGTCAGTAAGTTTAATAGTCATTCTGTTCGTCCTAAGTCTTTCGTACTTTGTCCAAAACAATAATGAAATTCGTTCAATAATTTCAACAATGAGTCTATCTGTTCCGATTGTTCCGAAGTTTAATAAGATATGTCACTAACAGTAAAAATATTATGTTCATTTGTTGAAACGGTCAGCGGACCAGCATTGACATTTTTTTGAGCTCTTTTGTCTTTTGTCTTTATTGACCTTGAAATCTTTCCGAGAGAAGTTCGTTACTCCCACTTGACCATTTGCGATACATTCGTCAGTAGCATTCGTTTCCTGGAATCGCCCGCAGTCCTCCTGGTACGTACACATTATCGTTGGTGGCTCCTCGTGACGTCAGCTCAATGACTGCTACTGTTTTTGGCGGAATAACAGTGTCCATCGTAGCCCACAATGAAATTTTCCTGGTCGGAAGATCTAAAATGTTAGGAACATTGTCATAATATTTTGGAAGAATGTGAACATTCTTTCCTGATACGATTACTAGGATTGTTGGTTGATTCAAAACGCTTTGTCCTACAATGACCGGTATTGACTGACAATAATGCTGCATTTACATTCACTTCGAAGTCCAATTTGTCTTGAAATTGACGTGCTTGCCATCATATGGCGGCAGCACAGATCGATTTACATTAAAATATATTTGGAGTTCACTCCGAAATGCCGAGGGCAAGCAGAACTTTTTGAAATGTCAAATTTTTAGATTCTCTTAAAATGACACGTTTTTCCTCAATATCGAAAGTGAATTTTGTTCTGCAATGTAAATATCAAACGTCAAATTCAACTTGAAGTTAAAAGTGTGGATGCAAATGCTCCTTTAAGGATAAATTCAGGTAGCACCACGCCCTAACGCTGGCTGCACTCGAAGTGATTCTCCCTCGCTTCCGATACGCATGCCCATCGATAGTTGGCATGCTGACACGTCATTCCTGTCTTTTTCTACGATCAGTCGGCTTTGTGAGTTTAATAACATTACATACTTAAGAAGTTATTGAAACCAACAAAAAAAAAACAAACTTGTGTTGATTTTTATCTCCCAATCGTTAAAACAAAACAAAACAATAATTATTTCCATATAAAAATAAAAGCGTATTGTTCTAGATTGTCATCTACTAGTCGCTCAAGTACTTCAAGCAATTTGGGAAAAGACTCATCGTATGCCTGAGTAAAGGAGACACTCTGCAAAACTATCTCAATGACGTTTTGCAAGAGGGCACCGAGCACGGAAGACGAACACGTTGTTGTCGAATTTGTCTAGAAATGTTTGAGAGTTACATGAAAATTAGTAGCACTGCCTTTAATTTTTTTTTTTATATAAAATTTTTTAGATTAAATAAGCAATATTAGTCTGAACAAAATAATAATCAACGAAGCTGCTAGGGAGATTAGGTGCCTCAAAGATATAATTTTCTTATGACATTTTGCTATAAGATGCTTTTTAATATTTATAGGAAAAAAGTTAGCTTCAAATATTTTCCATATATCACAATAATACCTAATAAATTTTAAAAAATCAAAACTTATTTCTAGACACATTATATTGTGCTAAATGTTGTGATAAGACTGAGTTGACGTTAGGAGGAAAAGTAGTAGGGAAAAAGTAGCTAATTTATTATTTGTTGATTTTGTTCTAAGATTTGGATTCGTATTGGTTTCTTAGACATTGACATTCAAGTAAATTTATCAAAATATTGTAGAACATATCCATGAATCTATATAAAATTTGTACTTAAGATATATCTGAAAATAATCGGAGCCATGGTAGTTTCCAAGCTAATTATTGTTAAAATATTTCAATTATAATTTTGTTAATTAGAGCTTTTTTTAAAAAAAAAATATATTATTTTATTTGTCTTTTATTTAATGTAAATATAGTATGAATGAGATATTTTTCCTTGTAATTTTTTTGTGAATAGCTAGAAAAGTAACGTATGCATTATCAATAATTGAAGTGGTAAGTTTTATATTATCTATTATTTTTATTATTATTGAACGCAATGTACCTATCGTACCTATTTTAATTAAATTTAAAGAAATATTGGAAAAAATTGTACTTGTATAGTTTTAAGATTAATGTTGTGAAATATAATTATTGTTTATCGAATTGGTTTGAAATTTTTTCCTCACAAGATAGTTACAATCCCATTTACCTGCTGTGAATTAAATCTTATCTATTGCCAAAAACCTCCAATAAAGCATCTAAGCACTTTTTTTTAAACAAAGTGCTCCAGCTTTTTTTCTAATCCCTCCATCTTCACAAACGGTTTGCACTGTGATAAACCTATAGGAATAATAAAAAATCTTCAGCTGGGGACTTCCAAAAATTGAATGACAGGATATTACAGAAGACGGAGAACATTTCAGTGCAGAGCCCCAAGTTAATAAATAATTCTTTTATTGAGGGAAATTATCCTGACGCATTTAATGGTGTCAAAAACTTACCCTCTTCGCAAAAAAACCTGGAACATTCGGCATTTTATGTAATTCACCTCAAACTATTTCAGTTATGTCTGGATAATTATGTAGGTACAATCTATATTCTATAGAAACCTCTGAAAGACAAAAGTACAAAAACCTCCTGCCACTCACAGAATAGAAACGTCTACTTGAATTCAGGGTGTTCACAGACACAAAAAAATCCCCGATGGTCTTCTGAGGACTGTTTTTGGAGTCCACTACAATGGCGATGGCTTGCTCCAAAAGTGATACAGCCCTTCTGGTGATGATGGAAAATATAAAATATGAGATTTTTGTAAGGATGCAGTTTCTCTGTAAGCTACTTTATTCTACCATCAGAAACACAGCACATGTTACCAAATTAAGCTCATTTGCTTGTGGAAACCTGCATTTCTGTGGTCATGGACTTTCGCATCGCCTGACTGGGAAAAGAACAAGTTGAAGAACTTTGTGTGTGAAAAGTTCGAAACAAAGAAGGTCCGATGGAAGAGCTCTTCAAGGGTCAGCTTAGATGACATTGATGCATCGTTAATGAACCCACAACTCGGCACCCAAGGATTATTTTTTAACAATCGTAGGATGCTATCCCAATAATGATTCAGCAGCATCAGCCATAGGGAGAGGCTGATTCGTGCGTGTCGTAGTCAGGTAGATGAGACCCCTTTGCGATTAATATTCGATGTATTGGAAATAATAAGACGCATTTATTATGCGTTTGAGATTGACAAAAAGTGCAATGCTTTCTTCATAAATGAGCATTTGCCCGATACAGAAGCATTGTGATGGTCGTATGCAAGATGACGTTCAGATTTGCATGATGATCATTCTCCGGATGGAGATTCCATAATATCTAGTCTAGAACGGCTTGTGGTTTACTGAATTTTCTTGATATGACCAAATATATGACTAAAGCACGGTCTACACGCAACGATGTATCGTCAGATCGCTTAATTATAAGGTACGGTTTGTTAGGATAGTACGCGACGCACAACTGAAAACGTAAACGTCGTCATTGGTTCAGGTATGACGTACACCCGTCTTCTGACGTGAGGAAACGGGTCTACGTCATACCTACTAGTCGGGGAGCTGGCATCGAAAATATGCAAGAGTTTTCGCAAGGCTCATATTTTCAGAATGAGTAGCATTTTAGTACTACAAAGCTAGGCTACAGTCAGCAGTTCCAGTTCCGGGACACCTGGCGCTGAGATGCGCGCAAAGGTGTATTTTTAATCAACACCTCGCAACAGTTTTCGCAAAGCTGAAAATTTGCAAAGAGCATGCGAATATAATGTAGAACCATAATTTAACAGTCAGACAAAGAAATACGGGGACACGTAGAGTCAGCGCGACTTTGAAGTGGTCAAAAAAATGACGTCACCGAAAGTGTTTTCGCATGGCTGAAATTTGGCAAGGTAATAGTAAAAACAATATATTTATTGAAAAAAACAGTCAGACACTTCTATGTCGGGACCCCGCCAGTCAGCAGTCGATTAGAGTGATATAGGTGGTAGCGCGCGTCATTAGGCATATATCCATGTCGAATAATAATTTCACCAAAAGTGTTTTCGCATAGCTGAAATTTGGCAAGGTAATAGTAAAAACAATATATTTATTGAAAAAAACAGTCAGACACTTCTATGTCGGGACTCCCTCAGTCAGCAGTCGATTAAAATGAATAGAATAGAATAGAATTTTACTCTATATATAATATCCATTTCGATGAATAATTTTATTTTTATAATTTAAATTATTTGGAATCGGAACCGGTAAAATAAAATTGTACATGCAGTTAAAAAGTTTGCGGTTAGAAAAAAGCCCGATTCGTATAAATATTACTTGACCATTTAATCAGCAGTACTGTGATAGTATACCTATAGTAAGTTTCATTAAATACTTATAATCGTCGCCGATTTTATAAAATACAAAAAAAAAATTTCTAATCACATCTGCCGCTTCCCTTCCCCTAATCTCGACCTAACAGTACCATAATGAAGTTTCCGAATTCGAATGCATATACGCATTATTCAAGTATACGCGCTTACGCTTGCAACTTACAGGTTTACACTTACTCATTAAGAGAAAAAAAAATGTATTTTACCGTTTCCGATTCCAAATAATTTAAATTATAGAAATAAAATTATTCATCGAAATGGATATACCGGGTGGTCCTCCGGGAATGACATCGATTGCTTATGGGAAAACTGTGAAAGGTAAAAATTTGAAAATTTGGCAACATAGCAATGTCGATGGGGGACATCCAGGTAAAATATTTTCAAGATGGCGGCATTTCCGGTCATACCGGAAGTTGATACCAACTCGGTTATTTCAAATAGAACACCCCATATATTAATGTATTTTTGGATTCTACATAAAATTCTGAGCAGATTTCATGCAATATACCCTATACCTAAGTTCAACTGTTTTGGAAATATTGACAGTTGAAAATTGATTTTTTGCAACTTTGACAGACTGTAAAACCTAATTGGTTAATTTTAGAGGAAAACCGATTTGACATTCCTATCTTAGATTTTCATAAACTATCATTTGACACCAACTTTGAACTTGACCGGAGATTGAATTTAACTGAAATTTTTAATCATGGATTTAATTCAAAGTTGGTGTCAAATGATAGTTTATAAAAATCTAAGATAGGAATGTGAAATCGGGTTTCCTCTAAAATTAACCGTTCAGGTTTTACAGTCTGTCAAAGTTGCAAAAAGTCAATTTTCAATTGTCAATATTTCCAAAGCAGTTGAACTTAGGTATAGGGTATATTACATGAAATCTGCTCAGAATTTTATGTAGAATCCAAAAATACATTAATATACGGGGTGTTCTATTTAAAATAACCGAGTTGGTATCAACTTCCGGTATGACCGGAAATGCCGCCATCTTGAAAATATTTTACCTGGATGTCCCCCATCGAAATTGCTATGTTGCCAAATTTTCAAATTTTTACCTTTCACAGTTTTCCCATAAGCAATCGATGTCATTCCCGGAGGACCACCCTGTATATAGAGTAAAATTCTATTGACGCGCGCTACCACCTATATCACTTTAATCGACTGCTGACTGAGGGAGTCCCAACATAGAAGTGTCTGACTGTTTTTTTCAATAAATATATTGTTTTTACTATTACCTTGCCAAATTTCAGCTATGCGAAAACACTTTTGGTGAAATTATTATTCGACATGGATATATGCCTATTGACGCGCGCTACCACCTATATCACTCTAATCGACTGCTGACTGGCGGGGTCCCGACATAGAAGTGTCTGACTGTTTTTTTCAATAAATATATTGTTTTTACTATTACCTTGCCAAATTTCAGCTATGCGAAAACACTTTTGGTGAAATTATTATTCGACATGGATATATGCCTATTGACGCGCGCTACCACCTATATCACTCTAATCGACTGCTGACTGGCGGGGTCCCGACATAGAAGTGTCTGACAGTTTTTTTCAATAAATATATTGTTTTTACTATTACCTTACCAAATTTCAGCTATGCGAAAACACTTTTGGTGAAATTATTATTCGACATGGATATATGCCTATTGACGCGCGCTACCACCTTTATCACTCTAATCGACTGCTGACTGGCGGGGTCCCGACATAGAAGTGTCTGACTGTTTTTTTCAATAAATATATTGTTTTTACTATTACCTTGCCAAATTTCAGCTATGCGAAAACACTTTTGGTGAAATTATTATTCGACATGGATATATGCCTATTGACGCGCGCTACCACCTATATCACTTTAATCGACTGCTGACTGAGGGAGTCCCAACATAGAAGTGTCTGACTGTTTTTTTTCAATAAATATATTGTTTTTACTATTACCTTGCCAAATTTCAGCTATGCGAAAACACTTTTGGTGAAATTATTATTCGACATGGTTATATGCCTATTGACGCGCGCTACCACCTATATCACTTTAATCGACTGCTGACTGGCGGGGTCCCGACATAGAAGTGTCTGACTGTTTTTTTCAATAAATATATTGTTTTTACTATTACCTTGCCAAATTTCAGCCATGCGAAAACACTTTCGGTGACGTCATTTTTTTGACCACTTCAAAGTCGCGCTGACTCTACGTGTCCCCGTATTTCTTTGTCTGACTGTTAAATTATGGTTCTACATTATATTCGCATGCTCTTTGCAAATTTTCAGCTTTGCGAAAACTGTTGCGAGGTGTTGATTAAAAATACACCTTTGCGCGCATCTCAGCGCCAGGTGTCCCGGAACTGGAACTGCTGACTGTAGCCTAGCTTTGTAGCACTAAAATACTACTCATTCTGAAAATATGAGCCTTGCGAAAACTCTTGCATATTTTCGACGCCAGCTCCTGGACTATACGGTCATACCTGAACCAATGACGACGTTCACGTTGTCAGTTGTGCGACGCGTACTCTCCTAACAAACCGTACCTTTAGAAAGCTCAAATTAAAAAAAAAAGTCGCGTGCAGCACAGTACACGTGATAGAAGTGAATACTTTGAGGGTGTGAGTGAGTGAGTGAGTGAGTGAGCGAGTGAG